ACAGTTTAAAAGGAAACACACTAACGTCTTACCAGTGACTATCTCTGGTTAGGGGAATTATGGAAGATTTTTATATTTACTTTTTGCTTGCCTGCATTTTCTGAGATTTTTACAGTAACTTTTTTTTCTTTAAAGCTGATACATGCTACATTGTTTTAAAATAGAAAATATATCCGGAAGGACAAAGAGATCATCTAAAGATATATTTAGACCCCTTTGGAGGTTCTTTTTTGCAAACTTTTGCAAACTTTTGCAACATTCTGAGCTCAAAACAACTATGTAGGAAAGCTAGTCCAATAATTACTATAGCTAGATCACTTATATCAGCAACACTGGCATATGCTGTATATGAGAGACACATAATTTACAGTTACTCTGAATTTTCTTTCTCTTCAGAGAAATTTTTTTCTGAATTGGCCAAATGTGTCCTATCTCTGGCTGATGTCAGTGGAAGCCCAAATGAGGTGGACCCTCATATATAATTACAGAATGAAGACTTCAGTATTTAATATCTAATTGGAAGTTGAATACTTCTCTCTCCCCTTTATTAGTCAGGGTTCTCCATGTGCACAAATATAGGAAGAGGTTTCTTTTAAGGAACTGGCTCACATGATAATGAAGTCTAGGGTTTACAAAATCAGCAGGGTTGGTGGGCAGGTTGGAGACCATGCAAGGAGCCAGTGTTGCAGTTCAAGTCCAGAGCCTGTCTGCCTGAGAATTCCATGCTGTTCCTGGGAGGTCAGTCCTTTGTTGTAAATATTTAGATCTTCAGCTGATTGGATGAGGGTGACCCACATTATGGAGGACAATGTGCTTTACTTAAAGTCTGCCAGTTTAAATGTAAAATCTTATCCCAAAACACTCACAGAAGGGATCCAAAATAATGTCTGATCATGGGCACTATGGCCCAGCCAAGTTGATATAAAATTAACAATTACACCACTTTAAAAAAAATGAATTAAGTTGGGAGGGAGGGATAGAAAGTAAAGCTACCACTCTTGTAGAAATGAACTTTTTGAGCTTTTAAGACCTTAGTCTTCCACGTATAAATTAAAATTACATTTTATTTAAACATTTGCTTAATTTTCAACTGGAAATATGATAAATCAGTTACATAGGCTTCACTGCCTTTTAGAAGCACTTCAAAAGAGATGATTAAATAAAACTGTCAAGTCTTCCGTTATTATTCTTAAAAAAATTTTTTTTTAAGTGTATTATTCTTTTCAAGAAAAGTCAGCTTCTTCCCAGTTTGGTAAAGGCACCTGAAAAGTATATCACAGTGACTTTATTTTTGAAATTTATTTATACTTTCACCTCTTCTTTTTCTCAGATTTTAGCTGATATGTTATATGGGGGGAATAAAAGTATTTAGTATCTCATCAGATGGCAAACTCTTCTACATTATTTTAGCCCTGATATTTCATGCTATTTAGGACTGATGCTTTAAGACTGCTCTGATAGCCTTCCTGTAATCTCACTGCTTTGGAGAATGGTGAGCTGGCAATCATTCACTGGTTCTGAAACTGTGTAAATCAGATTGGGACTTGAACCCATGGTCTTTTAACTAAGATCACACCTGATCTCAGGACATAATGAACCTCAGGTTCTTGATGTCTCATTGCATAAAGAATTCAGTGTGAGACAAAGTGATAAGTAAAACTTTATTTTCTTGGGCTCTAAAATCACAGCAAATGGTGACTGCAGCCATGAAATTAAAAGGAAGTTTGCCTTGGAAGAAAAACTATGACAAACCTAGATAGTGTATTAAAAAGCAGAGTCATTACTTTGCTGACAAAGGTCTGTATAGTTAAAGCTATGGTTTTTCCAGTAGTCATGTACAGATATGAGAGTTGGACCATAAAGAAAGCTGAGCACTGAAGAACTGATGCTTTAGAACTGTGGTGCTGGGGGAGACTCTTGAGAGTCCCTTGAGCTGCCAGGAGATTAAACCAGTCAATCCTAAAGGAAATTAACCCTGAATACTCTGTGGAAAGACTGATCCTGAAGCTGAAGCTCCAGTACTTTGGCCACCTGATGCAAAGAGCTGACTCTTTGCATAGGAAAAGAGCCTGATGCTGGGAAAGATTGAAGGCAGGAAGAGAGGGGACGACAGAGGAAGAGATGGTTGGATGGCATCACCGACTCAATGGACATGAGATTGAGCAAGCTCCAGGAGATGGTAAAGGCCAGGGAAGCCTGGCGTGCTGCAGTCCGTGGGGTCACAAAGAGTCAGGCACAACTGAGCGACTGAACAACAAACCTTCACATAAATCACAAAAAAATCACATAAAAAAACATAAATCAGACAAAAAGCTTTTTATTGTAAAAAAGGCACATTTTCAAAATTTTTAGTGTCAAAATTCTTTAAATTAATAACATCTTAGTTTTAAAACTTTGAAGTTATTATACTTACTTCTTTCAAATATAATTTCTCACCCTAATTAGAAAATCTCTTTTGTTTGTCAAGAGAAATGGCACTATCCAAAATGTTGTTGCAGTTTTCTGTCTGCCTAGTCTCTTAACTTTGTGTTATCTAAGCTTGTACATAATACTCTCCTGAAACTACTCTGGAAAAGGCTACCATCTACAATTCCAACAGTCTCCTTCCTACCACTGCTCTGCCTTTCAATTCATCTTTGTCACATGAGCAGTTTAACCTTTCTGAAACACAAGTTTCATTTTGCCACTCCCTCAATCAAAAGCACCAAGTGAAAACTAGTGGCATGACTAGTGGGAAGTAGGGTCAGGCCAGGTTATGGTTGCCCTAGAAAGTTACATTTCGAGAGGGAAGTTTCTGAGGAGGGGATTAATATGATGAAAGGTGTTGTTTTACTTAGATCATGCTAGTAGCAATGGGCAGATGAATGAGAGATGGGGAAGATGAGTGAAGGCAATCAGCTGTTGCAGAGATCAAGTACATTGCGCTAATAGGAGGGAAAGTCTTTCTTGTGGGGCCTGGGCCAGCCAAAAAATGCTGCCTTGTTGGGAAGTTCATGGTGGTGTTCAGTAGAATTCTCCAAATTGCTTGGAGAATGCAGTGCAGGGTTTAAGGAATACACGAAAATGAAGCAATTTAGTTAAAGGTAGCAATTTGATTTTGGATGCAAAGGCTGAAGTACAAAAGTGTCTGTGGTATGATTATAAAGTGTTGCTGGTTCACTTGGGCATGTGAGACTATGCCCAGGGACTATGGCCACTCTCTTTAAGACCTAGGACTATACTCACTTAACCCCATAAAGTGAGTTCTTTGGCCCTTTTCTCAGGAAACCAGGTCAGACAAACCAAACAAAACTCTGGTTCTGCTATTTCTGTAAACGAGCAGAAACCTGCAGTCCTCAAGTACCTTCTGGGCTTCCAGGAACCCCCTCCCAAGTCATTACCCTGCAAAGTTGGAGAGAACTGTTAACCCTTTCTCGTTCCCTCCCTAAAGACTTGCCTCAGACTTCACCAACTGTTCCAGGGAACAAAGGTTAGTAGGAGAAAGAATTCAGGCTTACATTTTTCTTATACCTGTATCGTAAGACTGTGCTTTCTACATAAGGGGGTTCTTGATTAGAAGGAAAAAAATTCCTAGTCTTAATTCCCTCTTGAGAGCTAGGAAATTTGTCTTCAGACTAACACAGTGGGAAACAGGGTTTATTTTATTTATTAAAGCAACTGTAATCAGAGAGAAGGAGGATTCAGGAAGGAGGGAATGCTCACAGAGCCAATTGCCTGGAAACCTAGAAGCATGAGTGTCAGGGATTTTTTTCGAACAGAAATTATCAGAGATGTTGGACACGGCTATCTCAGAAAGACTAAATTCAGAATAAAGATTGCAAGAGGGGGTGAAGGAGTGGGCAGTCGAAATTGGAAGCGCCACACTGTCGGGTGCTATCAGATTAGCTTCATTACCACCTGCCTCCACCTGCAGTCTGTGCTGTCTTTTCATCTTCTACTTCAGCACTGTTTAGAGTCTACCCATCTTTTAAGCCTTAGCTCCATTTCACTTCCTCCTTCAAGTCTTCTCTGAAGATTATAGTTTCTGTTTCTTTCTCCATTCCCTGAAAGCTTATTGAGTTCATAGTTACAGTCACACTAGTTAGCATGTTAATAGTCATATCAAAAGTGTAAGCCTACTCCCCTACTGTAAGGCGGTGTAATTTTTTTACTTTGGAGACTGTACTGTAAACTTCTTTTGTATACTGCTTGGAAAAATTCTGGGTTTTATACTTATTAAAACGGGCTTCCATGGTGGCTCAGATGGTAAAGCATCTGCCTGCAATGCCAGAGACCCAGGTTCAATCTCTGAGTCGGGAAGATCCCCTGGGGAAGGGAATGGCAACCCACTCCAGTACTCTTGCCTAAAAAAATTTCATGGACAGAGGAGCCTGGTGGGCTACAGTCCATGGGGTCACAAAGCGTCGGACACGACTAAGTGACTTCACACTCACTCACTCAATACTATTAAATACACTTCTAGATCTAAAGTTCTGTTAACTATTCAAGAACAACTACTTAAATATTTGATAGTGCATAAAAGCTTCTATCCAAACATGATTTAACTAAATTTTCAAATAAGATGTGTCGATTTTGACTATCAGCAGAGTTGAACACTTTGAACTTATTCAGGAATGTCAATGAAGGGGGCAGCACCTTCCCTACACCCCTCCCCCCCCCCCCCCCCCCCCGCCATTGCTAGACTTCTAGCAATAAGTCCTCAAATTCGGCCTGCATTGAGTAGGGACCTTATAATCATTCCGAGGATAAAAGTGTCAAATTTCGAAAACATCTAGAAAAGAGAGTGAAATCTCTGCCAAATTAGGGAGTTGACCAGTTTCCCAAACTCACTGCGGCTCAGATTCTAACCCGGGTTTCGCATCGTTAGTTGCAGGCAGCCAATTGGGCCGTTTGGGTGCCGTGCATCCTGGGAGCTGTAGTCTCAAGCTCGCTCCTCCCGATCACTAGCTCCACCGAGCAGCCGGAGGACGGTTGCCTGGTATCATCAGCAAGCGGGAAGTATGGCGGCGGCGCGTGCCGCCGCGGCTTTGCCTCCTGGAGAAGGTAAGGCGATCCCCATCCTTGGGTGCCAAGGTCTACTCCAAAGAACTGAATTAAATAGTTGCCAGGTGGCGAGAAGACGACTAGGTTTAAAGGGTTCAGTTCTGGACCAGTTCTTTTGATGCAGCGTTGTGGGAGTCGCGGAGGCGCGCTGCCCTCTGGGAGTTGTAGTGCCTTAGGCGCTGCCTCGCTCTGCGTCGTCGCGGCGCGGTCCAAGCACGGGACTACAAGCCCCAGAGACCTTAGCGCTGCCCGGCGCCGCGGGTCCCGCGCTCCTGAGGATACCTGGTCTGCGGGTTTCTGGCTGCGGTGACCGTTCTGGGATGTTTACGTTGAGTTCTGGGTACCCAGGTGAAAACTGTAGGATCTCCCCCTTTCTCTCAGTTCCTAGAACGTTTAAGAAGCCCTCTATCTGACACAGTTCCCTAGATTGACGTTGGACCCTTTCTTGGAAGTGTCCCAATGGCCGAGATAAAATCTGGGGGTTATTCAGAGCCCACAGCTCACCACCCCTTGTTATGCAGACGGGATTCTGGGATCTGGTTTGGGCGCTGGCGAGCGGAGCGCGGGCCGTGGGTGCTTCCGTGGGTGCTGTGTGAGCGGAGCTCCTTTGTTTTGGTTACAGCTCGGAAGCTCTGGGTCGCAGGCAGGGCGGGGGGGTCGAGGCCCTTTTCCACCGCTTAGATCTGGCTCATTATGTGGGAGAGAGGGTCGAAGAGGTGTTTCGATCCCTTTGAATTGTGTGCAGAGGCTCTGCATTTTCCTGGGACGGTATACAGCTTTCATCAAACTCTTAAATGCAATGACCACCTGTCCTCCCAAATGCTAGAAGCCTTTAGACAATGGAAAAACGTTGATATCCTTCAGGAGAGCTATCTTGCATAATTATTTCCCACAGTAATCTTAATCTGGGTAGAAATTTGAAATTGGCAGTTTGGCCCCTCCTCCCTCCGATATTTGCTACTCTTAAACTCCACCTCCCCAGCCCACCGAGGCAGTGAATTTACTGATGATAATAGCAGTTAACATTTATAGAGCACTTTTTATATGAGCCAGATTATGTTCTGAGTGTCTTTTTTTTTTTTTAAACATTATCTCATTTTCTCTATAACAACATTATAAGGCAGGTACTATTATCATTCCTATCTTAGAGAGTAGAAAAGTGAGCCCCAAAGAGATCAATAACTTACCCAATAAACCACCGTGTTTAGTGGAGCCAGAATTTGAACGTCTGTTAAGTATACCAAATCATGTTATTGGAATGGGATTAAATGCTGTTCATAGAGTTTCGATTTTCATCTCCATATCAATGTAATAAAGTAGGTATATTATTCCCATCTTGTAGATAAGTCAACATAACTACACTTTGATTTCCAAAATAGTTTGGACACTTTATGGTATACTGGTAGTTAGATTGTAAGCAAGTTGATCTCTATCAAAAGATAAGTTACATCTAAAAAAATTCTGTTGTTACTTAGGCATAAAATATGGAATAATAGTTCACATTTAAATGTGAAGAAGCCCAGAGTATTTAATATCATGGAAACTTGAGTTGTTATTCTCCACTTGCTCAGTTGTGTCCCTCTCTTTGTGACCCCATGGACTGCAGCATGCCAGGCCTCCCTGTCCTTCACCATCTCCCAGAGCTTGCTCAAACTCATGTCCATTGAGTCGATGATGGCATCCAACCATCTCCTCCTCTGTCCTTCCCTGCTCCTGCCTTCAGTCCTTCCCAGCATCAGGGTCTTTTCCAAGAGTCAGTTCTTCCCATCAGGTGGCTAAAGTATTGGAGTTTCAGCTTCAGCATCAGTCCTTCCAGTGAATATTCAGGACTGATCTCCTTTAGTTTGATCTCTTTGGTTTGATCTCTTTGCAGTCCAAGGGACTCTCAAGAGTCTTCTCCAGCAGCACAGTTCAAAAGCATCAATTCTTTGGCGCTCCATCTTCTTTATGGTCCAACTCTCACATCCATATGTGAATATTGCAAATCTAGGCATAATTTGATACTTCTAAGGGAAAGTGAATAATTTCATTCTGTAGTCACTTAAAAATTGCTTTAGTTTTAAAATCTTGATATTTATTTTGCCCTAGTGTTTTCTAATTCTGAATGTTTAAGATTTTATGAGTATGCTGTTACCTCTGTGCTCAGTGTTGTATTTGTGTTTTCTAATAATTCCCCTTCTCTCTTCAAGGGTCAGTGGTCAATTGGTCAGGGCAAGGGCTACAGAAATTAGGCCCAAACTTACCCTGTGAAGCTGATATTCATACTTTGATTCTGGATAAAAATCAGATTATTAAATTGGAAAATCTTGAGAAATGCAAACGATTAGTACAGGTAGGTATTGCTATGTGGGGGAAATAGTTATATAAGACCAGTTTATTATTATACAAAATAAAGCAGTAAGATAACAAATGTAACTCTGTAAGCCTAGAAAGTAGTAGGTATTGCCTTAAATTAAAAAGAATTAATAGCTACAATAAATTTAAAAATAAAATAATTTAGTAAAAAATTTAAAAATTAATTTTTGCAGGATGACTATTAAATTTCTCCAGAAGATTAACATATTTTTGCCACCTTTAAAGTAGACTATACAAAGAGCATTTGTTAAAAAAGAAAACATTTTATGTTGGCTAAATAACATAACGTTTTATGTTAAACATGGTGGAGGTAAAGAGTTGATTCATTCCTTCTTTCATCGTTTATTGGACCCTTCTTATGTGTCTGACATTGTTCTAGATTTTGATGGAGACAGTGTAAGGACTCCATTGTTGTGGAGTTTACATTCTCAAGTAGTTGCTGTGTTGAAGATATTTGCGTCTAGTACTTGGAGGAGGTGTGGGATTGTTCAACTTTATCTGTATTTTCCATTGCTTAGGAGTGACAGCAATAATAAATAGTTACACTGCAGAATATTTAGACAGTATATGTGAAAACTACAAGCTGCATTTATATATTTGGGAATGGTTGACCATATAAACAAATCTTTTTAACCACCCTAATGTGAAAGTAATATTTATATTTTACTCCAAAGAATAATGATGTTTTCTTTCCTCAGTTGTCAGTGGCTAATAATAGGCTGGTGCGGATGATGGGTGTGGCCAAACTGACCCAACTCAGGGTGTTAAATTTGCCTCATAATAGCATTGGCTATGTGGAAGGCCTGAAGGAACTTGTTCATTTGGAATGGCTGAATTTGGCAGGAAATAATCTCAAGGTGAATTCTTTCTTTCTTTTTTGTTTTTTTTTTTTTAGTAGTTTTTTTTTTAACTTCACAAAAGTATTTGCTATGAAAAAGGAATTTAAGCAGTAGAGAATTCAATAGAATACAAAATGAGAGTATTGACTCCTATTCCCCAGAGACAATTTCAGTTACCATAAACTAAAAAAAAAAAAAAAAAATTTCACTTTGGAAATTCATGCAGAATTAAGCTCTGTGTGCATGTTTAATGGTACAGTGAAGAATATACTGTTTTAAAAATCAGGAGCTCTCAATTCTGGTCCTGCTTCCACCACTTAGTAACTCTATCATTTTGGGTAAGTTAATCAGTATTTCTGTGTCTTTTTTTTTCTTTGTATTTTTTTGTTTTCTGTGTATTATTTTTTGATATTGTAGACAAGGGAACGGTATTTAATGAAGAGAACTGACTTATCAAGCATGTAAGGTTTGCCCTTCTAACCACCTTCACTGTTTTAAGGCACTCACGACAGCCTGTAAAGTAGGTACAACCTTTATGTGTACTGTATAGATGAAGAAGCTGAAGTACAGAGAAGTAGCTTGCCTAAGCTCACACAGTCACGAAGTTGCTGAGCCAGGTTTTGAGTCCAGGCAGGTTAGCCCCAGCGCTAACTTGTAACCTCTATGCTGTATCAGCGGTCATGTGTCATCCCCGTTTCTTCAAGCTCTAAGAATCTGGCATGATAGGATCCCCTGCTCTAGAGGGGTAATGGAGGTAGGAACTTGCTCTATGACAGAATTCTGCTGTCACTGCCTTGTCTTTCTCTTGCTAAGCCCTGCTCCTCTGCTTCTGACAATAAGAAAGAAGGCGAGGGTCAGCTACAAGGAAGTAGGGAAGACTTCCATTTTTTGATTTTGTGTGCATGAAATAAATTTCCTTTTCTCGTCATAGGCCATGGAACAAATCAACACCTGCACCTCTCTACAACATCTCGATTTATCAGACAATAACATACCCCAGATAGGTGATCTGTCTAAATTGGTATCACTGAAGGTAAGTGTGTTTTCTATGTCATTTCTGAAGTTTTATACTAAAGTACCAAGAGAAAGTGACCTAATTGATCTGTATATAGATCTGCAAGAATAAATTGTGTTCATTATGATCAAAATTCTATTAGTGTACCAGAAATTAAGTATGAAACTTTGTGTTGTTAATTTCTATTACTGATTTACTTTAACTGACACTGGTCATTGTAGTTAAAGTTAATGCTTATTTACTGTTCAACAAACATGATCAAATTCCCTTCATGCCTAGTCCATCAACATTAGTAGCTTTAGTTGTATAGCATCCATAGTGCATAACATGTTGGTGGGGTTGAGAGTAATCATTCCTCTTTAACACTGAAGACCGCTCTTTCCTTTTAGTGGTAGAAATTGTTAAGTTATCAAAATCTAACCTCACTTTAGGAAATTATAGCCTATTGCACTTTTTATGGAGGGGAATGCAGTAAAATAAATATGTAACAGTCGGAATCAACAGCTTCATAAAACATGAGTAGGCTGTTTCCATATTTTTACTCCGTTGGATATCATTAGCATGAGATGAATTCATTAAGCCTCAGAAATAGTATTATTAGCTCAACTTTTGCTATTTTTTTTAGCAGAAATCATTTTTAGCAACAATTGCTCTAAACAATTTGATGTAGTCAGATACTGAGAGAACTCAAATGAACTAAAGATGATTGAAAGTTTTGTTTTTTTTTTTTCCTGGAATGGAGGCATGATTACTTTATCAGAATCCTGGTGTTGAGAGTCTTCAGTTTATTTTTCATTGTTGCTGTCTTAATTTGAATTTGAGTCAGGTTTATCAAGTACATTCTACCTTCCTCAAGAGAATATAGTTGCAAATCATAGTTCCTGGGTTATCTCTCGCTTGTGGAAAATTTGCTTTCTACCTGATTGTTTCTCTTTTTGTTGTTGTTTTGGCGGCACGCACGATATCTTATTTCCGTAACCAGGCATGGAACCTGTACCCTCTGCAGTGGAAGCACAGAGTCCTAACCACAGGACCACCAGGGAATTCCCTGGAGCTTTTTGTTTCAACGAATGTTTTCTTTCACTTTTCTCACCCTCTATTTTGATGTTTTAAAAGGAAATGAACAAGTATGTTGAAAGTTGCTCAAGTTTAAATAACTTGCAACATGCCTTTTGCTAAACTAAGCATATGTTCTTTGGCAAATCTTTAAACTTTCTTGAACTTAGAATAAGGATGTGAAAAGAGAGTTGGACCAAATGGCCATCTAGGACCCTTCTAGCATTAACAGTCTTTGATTTATGTGTGATGAGAAGTTATAATAAAATCACTTTCCTTTTATATACTTAATTTTGATTTTTTCAAAATAACCCAGTTGTCTATTTCCATTTGTAATTCATTACCTTTTTACTTTCAAGACCCTGCTGTTACATGGAAATATCATCACCTCTCTTAGAATGGTACCTGCTTATCTACCCAGATGTCTTGCTATACTTTCTTTGGCGGAAAATGAAATCCGGGACTTAAATGAGGTAAAATTTGAGGGTATCTTATGGGATCCCGGGAGCTGGAAACTCAGGAGAGATGCAGGAAAAGGTGGTGAGCTCGCTTTAGATGAGCATCTTGGAGAAAACTGCTATCAGGATGAAACACTTGGCTCCAGAAGACCATTATTTTTCTTTCCACTTTTATTTAATGTCAGTGGGTTATTAAGGCTTAATTTCATTTGTAATGCTGAGCTCTTCACTCCACTGGGAAGTGATTGTTGGTGGAGGGACATCTACATTAAAGGGGTTAATAAGGCATACTCTGTACCTTTTTCTGGCTTCTATTATGTTTTCAAAATAGGGTTCTTTTTGCTAGGAAGCAGTGCTTTCTAAAGGACTTTGTGCAGGAAGAACAGATGGCCATATTGTTGGAATTTTTGGAATCAGTGGATAATATAAGAGTGTTACTTGTCACTTTTCAAAACAAGAGGGAAATTGTTGCATTCTCAAACTGCCAGAGATGTGTAATCAGCGGAAGCCCTGTGCTTGCCACTGAGTAGTCCATTTCATTCAACAAAGATGTCCTTTGTTTCAGGTCTCTTTTCTGGCATCCTTAACTGAACTGGAACAGTTGTCAATCATGAACAATCCATGTGTGATGGCAACACCTTCCATCCCAGGGTTCGACTATCGGCCATACATCGTCAGCTGGTGCCTAAGCCTCCGAGTCCTAGATGGATATGTGATTTCTCAGAAGGAAAGGTGAGCGTGACCCCTTTAATGTCACATTTATCATGGGAATTAGCTGAAAAGCTCATTTCTAGCTTACTACAAATTAAGAAGCTGAATATTGCTGGAAATATGAATTTAGAAATTAGTCATTAGTGCAGTTATATAGTAGACTCTGTGCTGTTCATGTAGGATTTTCTAGCCTTTCTAAAAAAGGATAATAATATCAGTCTTAGAGGTTGGGTCTAGTGAGTTTAATTTCATGCCCCACATAACAAATTGAGTTCTAAAGATTCTTTTGTTATTCAGTTGTTTGGGGCTTGGAGCATTTCTGTATAGAAACCATGTTATGGGTGCTGTGTAGGATTTTAGATCAGTCCCACAAAAACTTGCATCCATCATATTGTAAAGGCACTACTAATAACACCTTTGAATCCAGCTACTCTTTATGAAAGTGACTGTGGGAAAATGCATGCAGAGTTCCAATTTGGAGCTGGTAGCAGACATACTGATTGGTGCTCACCTTCTAGCTTTGAAGCAACAAAAGTGGGAATCCCCTTTCTTTGGATCATTAATGATTTCTTCAGCTCAGAACTGGGACCCCTGCATGATGGGGTTTCTGGAAGCTGGCACATGACCAGTGGGATCAGAGCTTTGGGGAGGGAAGGATCAAGGTTGTAGACAAGAAGCGGTGGAGTTCGGATAGTGAGAATTGAGATGACTTTACCCTCATCACTGCCTCCTTCCACCTCCTCTTTTCAGCGCGTACGTATGTGCATTCATGGGCTCAACACACGTCATACTCTTCCTCACCATATTGTCCTTCTGTTGCAGAGACTGATAGTCACTTGGAGGGGTTTCTGATGGGAGGAGGAGTGGTAGATACTGACAGGATTTTCCTTGTCTTTCTCCCTTTGTTTTCATCTCGTTGTGAACAGGGTGGGGGCAGTGAGGAATGGCAGGCAGGAGCTACACCGTGGAGGTGCTGGGGATGGCTGATGTATGTCAGCTCTAGTTTGCCTGCAAACAAGTGTGGCTGTTCATTTTTCCTGCAGTGACTGCTGCTTTGTACTCAGAAACACCTTGTTTTGTTTCAAACTTGGTTAATTCTAGAGCTGGAATATGGATTTACTTGGATTTTCTTTTAAGAGAAAGACGTTACCAGATTTTTCTAGGGGAATAGGACTGGTAACATTTTCATATGTGGGAAGTACCACGGTGAGATGGGCCGAGATAAGGGTTTGGCATAAAAAGAGACCTGGGAGGAGAAATGAGACCTGGTCAGGAGAGACAAGAGAAGGCTTCGCATCTTTCCCTAACACCTGTTAGCTGTGTGGCCTGGGCAAGTGCCTTAACTTCTTTGATCTTTAGTTTTCTCATCTGTAAAATCTGGTACCTAACTTTCAAGTATGCCCTGAGGATTAAAGATTGAGGATTAAGGATAAGGACGCTTTCCCAGCATCAGGGTCTTTTCAAATGAGTCAGTTCTTCACATCAGGTGGCCAGAGTATTGGAGCTTCAGCTTCCAATGAATGTTCAGAACTGATTTTCTTTAGGATTGACTGGTTTGTTCTCCTTGCTGTCCAAGGGACTCTCAAGAGTCTTTTTCCAGCACCAGAGTTCAAAAGCATCAATTCTTCAGCGCTCAGCTTTCTTTATAGTCCAACTCTCACATCCATACATGACTACTGGAAAAACCATAGCTTTGACTAGATGGACCTTTGTTGGCAAAGTAATGTCTCTGCTTTTTAATATGCTATCTAGGTTGGTCATAACTTTTCTTGCAAGGAGCAAGTGTCTTTTAATTTCATGGCTGCAATCACCATCTGCAGCAATTTTGGAGCCCAGAAAAATAAAGTCAGCCACTGTTTCCACTGTTTCCCCATCTATTTGCCATGAAGTGATGGGACCAGATGCTGTGATCTTAGTTTTCTGAATGTTGAGCTTTAAGCCAATTTTTTCACTCTCCTCTTTCACTTTCATCAAGAGGCTCTTTAGTTCTTCTTCACTTTCTGCCATAAGGGTGGTGTCATCTGCCTATCTGAGTTTATTGATAATTCTCCCGGCAATCTTGATTCCTGCTTGTGCTTCATCCAGCCCAGCATTTCTCGTGATGTACTCTGCATATAAGTTAAATAAGCAGGGTGACAATATACAGCCTTGACGTAGTCCTTTCCCTATTTGGAGCCAGTCTGTTGTTCCATGTCCAGTTCTAAGTGTTGCTTCCTGACCTGCATGCAGATTTCTCAGGAGGCATGTCAGGTGGTCTGGTATTCCCGTCTCTTTAAGAATTTTCCAGTTTGTTGTGATAGCATGTAATTTAGAAATAGTTTAAATGTAATATTTTAGAATATCTGTATAATCACCATTGAAAAGAAGACTAGAATGTAACCAGCACAGCAGAGGGCTTCTTTGTCCCACTCATCATAACTCCCCTCCCCACTATAGTGACTTTTTGATAATTTAGAAAGATTATTTTTTTTCCTTGTTATTATGGATCTCCTGCCAGAGTAGCTAAAATTAGAAGAGCAATATGTTTAGTTTTGATGGATATGTAGAGCAATTGGCACTCTCATTAACTGTTCTAGAAGTATAAATCATGCAGCCACTTTGATAAACTAACAGTATTTACTGAATTTAAACGTATAAATACCCTATGACTCAACAGTTTGACTCTGCTATATACCCTAGAGAAATAGGAGCTTTGTATGCTGAAAAAAATGCGTAAGCTTGTTCATAGCAGCCTCATTCATAATCACTCCAGCCTTATTCACAATCACTCCAATTTGGGAGCTATGTGGGACATTTGGGCAGTGTCAATCTGTAAAGAAATAACTACAGTAGGGTTATCACATCTCAAAAAATTTAACAATAATTCCTTAATAACACCAAATATTAAGTGCTTACAGTTAGTCCTCATAAATGCAGTTTTTAAATAGAATTTTGGAAACTGGTTCCAAATAAGGCCATACATTGTAATTGCTTGATGTATTTAAAATATTTCTTTCTTGCTCTCTTTTTCAGTATCTTAAAAGTTTACTGTTTATTGCATGCTGCATGGCTTGGCTGTGCTGATTTGGTCGTTCTCCCTTGGGGTCTTGTGGTATGATCACAGTCAGGGCTGGAGTCATTTGAAAGGTCAGCTTGGCTAGAGGTCCGAGACGATGCTTTCAGATCTCCCTGTGGGCCCCCTGTCTCTTTGCTTTGCTTTCTTTTCTCTTTCTGGTTATTGAAGAAATCAGGTTATTTGTCCTACAGAGTTTCCTACTGTACTTATTTTGCCATTTGCTGCGTCCCCACGTGCTTTGACATACTCTCCCCTTTTGTGTTTTCTGTAAATCGGTAGTTGGAGGTGGAGGTTTGATCAGATTTTTGTGGGGTCGAGGACAATTTTTTGGGTCTTGTTGCGAGGCACATGGTATCTGGTTATCTCTTATGTTATGAGTATCTATTAATGATCAATGCGTAAATCCATTGAGAGTTGCAAAATGGTGAAATTTTAATTCTATCATTTATTTTTAAATAAGCTGGAATACTTCTGTGAAGTAAGTATTTGGTTACTCATTGATTTAGTTTGTATAGGAAAGATGGAATTAGTAATATTTAATTCTCCCCCTTTATCAGTTTTTAAAAATAATAGGATGGTAGCTCACTAGCATCCTTCAACTGTGACCAGTTGGCTTTTAAAAAACTATCATTATGAACTAATGGATTTAAACACAATTTATGTATTTAGGTACTTCAGTTTGACAGTGAATGGAGGGAATAGTTATTGCTTCTTTGAATGTAATTTAAAAATATTTGGAACCATTAGTTCAAATCATTGTAAGTGCCCCTAAGCAAGAAAGAACGTTTAAAACATAACAGGAGTAAGGAGAGTGAAGCAGAGGATAATTTTTCTTTTTAACTTGAATGTTATTCATGAAAAACATCTGGTGATGGTGGAAAGGCAGATTAAGAAGTTAGATCATTATTGCTTGAAAATGTATCTTGTCTACCCCAGTGCCAGCCCTTCCTCTTTCTGTCCCCCAATTCCAGCTTAAAAGCTGAATGGCTGTATAGTCAAGGCAAGGGGCGAGCGTACCGGCCTGGCCAGCACATCCAGCTTGCCCAGTATCTGGCTACAGTCTGTCCCCTCACTTCTGCACTGGGCCTTCAGACTGCAGAGGATGCCAAGCTAGAGAAGATTCTGAGCAAGCAGAGGTGAGCACGTTTAGCCGGAGCAGCTGATGAGACTTCCCTGCAGAGTTAGTAGGATTGGAGCGAGTGCTGCAGCCGTGTTTCTGGATCGCGGGGGCCCTGGTCACTGCAGCGGTCCTGCAGAAGAGCCAAACCGTGCAGGGCCATCTGGTTTCCTCCCCAGTGGCTGCATTGCTTGCTAGTCATTGCCTGAGTAGGGGAGAGCCTGGCAGCCTGGCAGCCTGGGGTTTAAAGTAACTTCACTTGTTCTTTTAGTGTGGGTGTTTAACACACCCACACTCACGCTGTAGAGACTTCCCTGGTGGTCCGGTGGTTAAGTATCCGCCTGGCAATGCAGGAGACACAGGTTTGATTCCTGGGCCCGGGAGATGGCACATGCGGTGGAGCCGCTAAGCGTGTGCACCCCCGCTGCTGAGCCCACGCCCTGCAGCCGGAGAGGCCACGTGCAGTGAGCAGCCTGCGCCCCAGGCGGAGAGTGGCCCCGGCTCACCACGACCAGAGAAAGCACGTGTGCAGCAACGAAGCCCCAGTGCAGCCAAAAATAAATGATAACTAAAACTCTTAGAAAAACCTTAAAAAAAACCACTAACGTTATATAGCTAGAAGCGTTTTTAGTAGTCGCTTCTTTCATCAAAGATCCTGTCTTTGAAGGTTTGTGTGTGTGTGTGTGTGTATGCTTATGATGGTGTCTGACTATATGATTTAAAAATAAATTGCTTAACACTTTCTACCCATGAGACTTTGTAATTTCAAGGTCATTAAAGGTATGTACTTTGAAAACCTTGTAAACTTCTCCCTTCTTGACATTGTTTTTCCTGTCGAACTGTTGAAGGAAGCAGAGAAGCTTTCCTTTTTGATCTGTTAAATCACATGAGGTATTCTGATTTTAGATTTCACCAGAGGCAGTTAATGAACCAGAGCCACAATGAAGAGTCGTCTCCTGTTGAATCAAGGGCATCCTTTGTGCCAGAGCATTCCAGCCCCATTCCAGATGGCCAGGTAGTCCCAGAAAGCGGTAAGAAGTTAACTGATCTCCGGTCCCTTTTTGTTTGATCTATTTGGTATCATAAAACAGGAAACAGTACATATTTTCAGAATGTTTTATTTGTTAGCTCAAATGAACATTTGGATCTTTTATTTTATATATATATGTATATTACACAAATGGCAGCTTCCCTTTTGGCTCAGTGATAAAGAATCCACCTGCCAATGCAGGAGATGTGGGTTCAACCCCTGGGTCAGGAAGATCCCCTAAAGAAGGAAATGGCAACCCACTCCAGTATTCTTGCCTGGAAAATTTCATGGACAGAGGAGCCTGGCAGGCTATACAGTCCATGGGGTCATGTCACAAAAGAGTCAAACACGACTTAGTGGCTAAACAACAACAATATACACAGACATATATAACTAGTAAATGTCTTAATTTTTGAAAACATTCAGAGGACTGCCACCTTTTGACTTGACGTAGTACTTTGATTATTTTTATGATTATTGCAAGAATTAAGTTCCTTAAAAATATTTGGTTTCATATTTTAAGGCATTTTGGAAGAAATTACTGAAAGGATTTCACTGCCTTTTACTATATTTCAGGGATTAGATTTCATTAAAGGGATACAACTGAAAAAAAATCCCTCATTAAATACTTAATGTTTCCAATGATACTCTGTTGATTCTTTTAGAACCCGTCATCCAAGTCAATTCTTGGGTTGGGACAAGTAGTCATGATGACCAGTCACATGCTGTTAAGAATAACTTTCCAACCTCTGTACACACTGCAAGATATTCTCGAAATGACCTGCACCTGGAAGACATCCAGACCGATGAGGACAAGTTAAATTGCAGTCTCCTCTCTTCAGAGTCTACTTTTATGCCAGTTGCGTCAGGACTCTCTCCAGTATCACCCACAGTGGAGCTGAGGCTGCAAGGCATTAACCTGAGCCTAGAAGATGCTGCTGCTGCAGATGAATCTGTGAAAGGGCCGGAAAACCAGGGCTTATCAAACAAGGAAGAGGAAAAGGCGTTGGGGGCTGCAAGTGAGAATTCTGTTCAGATGACAAAAGGTGCAGTTGCTACACAGGTAAATGAGAAAGATGGACTGTTACCGTGCCCTGAGCCAGTGGTCACCAGTGCCGGCTTGAAGGATCACACCCGCAGTCTTACATCTTTTTCTGAGTCAGTTGGACACAGTGTCTTTCATATGCAGCCAGGCAGTGAAGAAGCCAGGTCTCAAACAGCTTCAGAGAAACTTCCCTGCAGGGTGTTAACCCAGAAATCTGTTCCTCTGGGACAGGATAAAGTTGCCCTCCAGAAATTGAATGAAGCAGCCACCAAGCTTCAGGCCTGCTGGCGGGGCTTTTATGCCAGGAACTACAACCCACAAGCTAGAGACGTGCGCTATGAAATCCGTCTTCGCAGGATGCAAGAGCACATTGTCTGCCTAACCAGTGAAATAAGGAGGTGGGTGAGAAGTCTGTTTTAAGGCTTTTACTGTGAAGGTGCTGTTCCGTTGGTCTGGGGGCGTCAGACTCTTAGCGCTGATTCAGAACACTGAATCACCGCTGTTGTGGCTGGGACACTTCCCCTACCATGTTGCCACTCTAGGTTTGCCTCTGACACTGTACCTAAAGCATCTTGAGAGCAAGCACTGCAATATGTGCCTGCATATCTAGTGCCGAAACTGGAACATAGATACAGCGTAGCAGTAAATGTTGGATGAGATCCATGCCTTCTGGACATCTATGTACCTAAACACAAAAGATAGAGAAAGTGTAGAAAAACTGAATGAGTATAAAAATGAGAAGATGAGGACGTCTCCATAGAAGCCAGTAGATGACATAAGAATTAAGGAAAATAGTAGGAACTTAGAAGGGGTTAAAATTTGGGGGCTCTGGTGGAAGTTATGTGTTCATTCTGTGGCTTACATGTTGTCATGACTGTCACCCAGGGAAATGAGGACTTCATAGATTTATTCTGAGTTTCAGCACTGCGCCTGTCGGTATTGACTGATGTTATAAGTGGGAGAGGAGGAAGTGTCAGAGAGACTGAGAAGGGCCAGCCGGAGTCGGGGGAGAGCTGGGGGAGAGTGTCCCAGCTCCAGCAGGGCGCTGTTTCGGGAGAGAGGGGGCGCGCTGGAAGAGGACCGGGACCTGTACGCTGGACTCAGCGACCGGCGGTGACTGTGTGGAGGGTCCCCAACACTATCCCCAGGTTTGATTTGCAAAAAGGACTCTTGACTCAAAAAAGCTGTTCTTTATGCTCCTGTGTATTATGGTTGATTGGAGTGAAAGGAAATAGGTGACAGCAAAGGAAGGGGACACAGGGCAAAACTGGGGAGACCAAGTAGAGGCTTCTCGCTGTGTCCTTCCAGTGCCTTTTACAGGTGGGCTCAGTTCTCAAAGCAACAGTGCGTGAAAACACATCCGAAGTATCGCCAACCAGGGAACTCGCTCCAGCCTTGGCATCTGGGGTGTTCATTGGCGGCCAGTCACCTGGGTCAGTCCATGTGACTGACCTTAACTCCTCAGACCTCAGCCCCCACCCAAGGTCAAGCTGATGCCATTGCAGCCCAGCGCCTCAGGTGAACCAAGCTGGCATTCCCCATAAAGCACATGGCTGGCATAAACCAGCGGTCTCAGAGGTACAAAGGTGCTCTCATCAGGCAGGCTGTTCCAAAGGTTTAGAGGTTATCTCATCTCAGAAGCTGGTCAAGGCCAGTCCTGTCTTTAGGATGGTTGCACATTTCTGTCCTGCTCACTTAACCCTTTCCTGCCCAGTGAGCTTGCTAAGAGCAGCTTCAGGGGGTTAGTGGGATGCAGTCAGTTTGGAAAGGACTGAATAATGAGATATGAACAGTGAGCACAAGGGCTGCCGTGAGGAGGAGAAGGGAGCAGGTGGTTCCCAGAGGAGAATCTGGAGTTACGAAGATTCTTTTTTAAAGATGGGAGACACAGAGGAGGTTTATGTGTTGGTGGAAATGATTCAGTAAGGAAGGAAAAACTGATGGTGCAGGGCAATGAAAGAGGTGCAGGGCAATGAAAGAGGCGCAGGACGGAAGTTTCTTGGGAAGATGAGAGAAGAAGAGGTTCCGTGCACAAGCGGAGGGGATGGCCTGAGGCAGGAGCAGGGGCAGGTAAGGTGGGAGGTATCGACGGTGGGGGATGCAGAAGTCCTGTCTGATGGGCGCACCTCTTTTCTCAGTAATATACAAGACGCGGTCAGCACTTGGAAATGAGGGGGTGAGGATGTGAGGGGTTGAAGGAGAGAGGTGTGAAGTATGGAGTATTTATCTTAAAAGTGAACTTACAAAGGGAATGGAGAATTGCTGGATAGTATGAGGAAAAACTGAAAAGTGTAAAACAATAAGTCAAACTGTGTGATTTTTATCAGCAGCTCTTAGCTGTTCTATTCTGACTTTGGACCCGGTTCAGCCAGGAGTGGGTTTTTTCCCCAGGTGAACATGATAGGGGAGAGAGGGGAGATCAAGGGAGCTAAAGACATTTTGAAGGGAGATGATGATGGTGATAGATCTTGGAATTTGAATGAGGTAAAAGGAAAGACAGGAGAAAGACCTCATTTGTATGGTGGTCATAGATGAGGATTGGGCATCCAGGTTGTTGCAGATTGTGGCAAGAACAAGTGAACTGAGAGGTTTGTGTTGGTGCTTGAAATCATGTTTTTAAATGGTGTAGTCAAAATACTTGAGTCTAGAGTGGGACTGACATGACTTAGCAACTACACCGCCACCCCTACCAGAGCGGGACTGAAGATGATTGTTAAATAGAGCATCCGTGTGAATGTCAAGGGCTCCAGAAATGACCAGGGGAACAGGGCAGAGAAGAATACTAGTGCTGAGGCTTCAGTGAATGGAGGCCGATAGTGGGGGGAGCTCAGTTCTTGGAAAAGAGTTTGTGTTAAGTAATTAGCCTCCAACTAATAAAAATAAATGAAAAAAAAAGAGTTTGGGGAAATTTAGCAGGATGGCTGGAGTTCTTGGAGGAGGAAGGTTAAGAATCATTTGTAAACAGCAGTGGGAAGCAGTGTTCTGACCCTGATGTATAAATGAAAAAAATAGCTGCCACTTGAGAGGGCTACAGTGCCCTTGGAAGTGTGTCTGATTTGGTCAAGGAAAAGTTCAGAGAAGAAGCTGAGTGTATATATAGGGGTTTGCTGATTATAATTCAGGAGTCCCACATGGCGCAGTAGGAAGGCTTGAGGGGCTGGAGAAAGTAGGTCAGAGGTTCAGAACAAAATGGGGTGAGTTTGAGAGATATTGGACAGCTAAGGGAACCCTAGGTTTGTGATAAGTTTTAAGTATGGAGGGGGGGACATGGGCCCACAGTGAAACTTTAATGAATGAGGGGAAGTTATGCACAGGAAAGTCTGTTGGTGATAGCAAGGAGTGTGTCAGGGCCTGGAGCAAACAGGGGTGTGAAATTTGATGGGATTAGTCCGGCTGGTCTCTTCAAAGAGGAGACCAGTTCTCTTCTCTTTGAAGCTGTGATCCTGATCCTTTCTGCTGCTCTTGCTCCTTCTGTGTGTTTGGCTGCGAAATTGAGGCCAGATAAAAAAGAGCCATTTAATGTTTTATTTTTCAGTACTGGCTGGCAATACTTTGTAGAATCAGTATAATCTGAATTTCAGTCACATCTCATTTGGCTTCTATGTTGAGTCATAGTTTAAAAGTAAAGTTTCACTTAGATATTCTAAAAGTGGAAAGCACTTATTAGATTATTAATCTGTTTACACTGTATTTGTTTATTTGTCATAATAAGAAGTACAATTCAAAGCCTCCTTTCTTGTGTCAGTAATGGACTTTGAATTATTGTAGATTAAGGAAAGAAAGAGATGAAGAACGGATTCAAAAATTTGTTCAAGAAGAGGCTGTCAGATTCCTCTGGAACCAGGTAAGCCCCCTCCTGCTGACTTACTCCTGTGTAAATGAAGAAGAATTCTAGGTTTGCTGAGATAACCATAGAACAGTTACAGGTAAGGTAGCGCCCTTTCTCACGGTTAAGGATGTGGTTTGTCTTCACTGCCACTAACGCTGAACTACGACAGTGAATTTGTTACATTTTATGTAATCTGGACAAAAATATTTTCATAATTTTGACCAGAAAGATAAAGAACTATAACACTGACAGAAAGTGCTAAATTGAAGGATATTTGACAACTGTCCAATAGATATAAAAGGCCCAGTTTAAGTTTCAAGAAGCTGTCTTGTTTTATCTTTTAAGCCTATTTGAATGAAAGATGATTGAAACAGTGTGTGATGGCTACAATATGCATGTCCTAAAAAGTCCACATGACTTCCAGGTAGAGAGCTTGAATCCTGAAATAGCATGCTATGGGGACAGTTCAGACGTCGGTTTTACTACTATTGTATTGTTCTTGATGATTATTCCTTGGAAGTATTTTTAGAAAAGAATTTGTTATAATAGGATTTTACCTATAGTGTTATTTTTGAAAATACATAGTAAGAGGTCTGGGAAGATACATATCAAACTACTATCAAGGATTACCTTGAAGGATAGTCTAAGGGAAACTAAAAAATTCTCTATATTGCTTTCTTGTTGCAGATGTTATAATAAAATTCTGAGGTTCTAAGTATACTTTAAAAATGTAAAGGTCCGGGAATCCCCTGGCAGTCCAGTGGTTAGAACTTCACCCTTCCACTGCAGGGCCGCATGTGTTTGATCCCTAGTCAGGGAACTAGGATCTCACAAGCTGTGTGGCGCAGTCACCAAAAAAAAAAAGAAAAAGAGGTAAAGGTCGTATTATCAAGAACTCCACGAATTTTTAGGTATTTTAGAGTCGTGTATATTTCATTGTTAGGTTTTCTTTCCCTCTCTTTTTAAAATAATTAATTTTTGGTGGTGCTGGGGCTTCCTTGCTGCAAGAGGGCTTTCTGTAGTTACAGGAAATGGGGGCTGCTCTTGGCGGTGCCCAGGCTTCTCATCGACGTGGCTTCTCTTGTCACAGAGCACAGGCTCTAGGCACACCAGTTTCAGGAGTTGTGGCACACGGCCTCTGCGGTGTCTAGCACCTTCCCAGACCAAGGATTGAACCTTTGTTGCCTGCATGGGCCGGAGGATTCTCATCCACTGTACCACCAGGGGAAATCCTACATAGTTAGTTTTTAAAAACTCTTATCTGAAATGGGTATCTAGCGTGAGACTTCCATATTTGAGAATCTGCTCATATTAATAAGTTCTGTTGTTATTGTTAAATAGACTTCAGTGTATTGAGAACCTTATTGACCCTTAGTCAGCTGTATGCGCGTCACTGTGCTTCTGATTATCTCTGTAGTGGGAGCAAGCGAATTGCTTTGGCCCATCCCTGCTTTCCTGCTTTCCAACAATGTGAACCACTTTTGCCAACCAGGTCTAAGCTAGGGGTGCTGTGGAAAGGATCAGGGGAGTCAGGACATTTCTAACTCCAGTTTTGCCATCTGCCGTTTACCAACTTCCTGAGTGTAAGGGGGAGAAAACCTCAAAGGACGATTGTAAAGTAGGCATGGTTTATATTTTGTAGTGAAACTGTATCCTTTGGTTTGCAGGTAAGGTCTCTACAAGCTTGGCAACAGACTGTGGACCAGCATCTAAGTTCCTGCCATATTGATGTTCCCCCTATATTAAGTACTCTGGTGCCATCTAAACCTCCTTTATTCACCCAAAGTCAGGAGCCATCTTCTGATCAAAATTCTGATTGGTTCATTGCTCCTGATGAAGCTCCTCAAGAGAAGTCCTTACCAGAATTTCCAGACTCTGGTTTTCATTCCTCCTTAACTGAACAAGTTCACTGTTTACAGGATTCTTTGGATTTTGAAAAAAGCTCCACGGAAGGTAGTGAAAGTTCCATAATGGGGAATTCCATTGACACTGTCAAGTATGGCAAAGAGCCAGACGTAGGGGATGTTAGTGAAGAACCTGGTGAGTGGGGTAAGGAAGGCTCCAACAACGAGCAGGATAACAGTCTGCTTGAACAGTATCTAACTTCAGTTCAGCAGCTAGATGATGCTGATGAGAGGAGACATTTTGATGAAGGGACGGGAGATAGTAAGCTTCACCTACCTCGTTCCCCTGAAAAGCTAGACGTCTTATCTGATAGTGCTTCTGTAGATGTCGCTCATGGCGTATCTCCTGCTTTGCAATATGAAGTCAGCCAGACACCAGAGAATTGTGAATTGAATGCAGAAGTACAAGGGCAGCAGTCAGAATGTGATTCTACATTTCAGATATTGCATGTTGGTATTATTGTGTAGCATGTCTGGTTACTTGAAAAGCAGAAGTCTATTTAATTAAAGAATATTTTCAGTTGGCTTTTTTTTTTAATTAAAGAATATTTCTCCCAATTTTGTTACTATCTTCCCCCCACCCCCCCGCAACCTAGGTACTGAGCTAAATCTTTGTTTTTATTTTGTTAAGTTTTTATTTAGCTATAATGTATCAAACAATATTTATATTGAAAGCCACATGCACTTTATTAACAACTAAATTGCATCAACAGTGTTCCTATGTTTTGATGTATTCATTTCCTTTCAGAAATAAACTAGAATACCTTAAAGGAGATAGAAATATTACCTGAAAGATACCAATAAGAGAATTTTAGTTCTTCTCTATGTGAGAAAGTTGATTATGTAGTGAGGAATGCAATTTGCTACAGTAAATATAAATGACAAATACGAGGATTGTGAACTGTTGAAATTTGCCAGCCTCTTTGAAGAACATGTGTTTTTAAGCCTTTTTCCTCCCTATGAATCCACGAAAGACTTCTTGTAAGCAAATAGGAAGAAAAGGTAAGATGATAGGATTTTTCAGTGGGGATAATTAAATTGTTTCATGGAAAACTTTAATGTTATGTATCAATTTTAGCATATGAAGCAAAGTTTTCTGTCCAGAATTAAAGTGAAGCTTGTTTTAAGGGCAACACAAGAATATTTCTGTTAGGTATAGGCTCCATTCACTTGGGATAATATCCCAGCAAACATCTGTTATCTTTTCATTTAGTGATTTTTTCACCCCATAGATAAGCATTCCCTGGTGGCTCAGTTGGTAAAGAATTCACCTGCAGTGTGGGAGACCTGGGTTCAATCCCTGGGTCCGGATGGTCCCCTGGAGGAGGGCACGGCAACCCACTCCAGTATTCTTGCCTGGAGAATCCCCATGGGCAGAGGAATCTGGCAGGCCACAGTCCTTGGGGTCACAGAGTGAGACGCGAGTGAGTGACTAAGCACATGCCCAGATGAGCATTTATGTGCCAATATATTGCCAGAAAGTAACGTACACTTTCTTTGTTCCTGCTTTATATTTGCTTACATGCTTCAGCAGAGGCCCATGGTCATTCACTTCACTCTTGGCCTCATAGAAAAGAGCAGGTAAAATAACACCAGTGGTGGAGCAGGAATGACCTTTTTATAAGGACTGTTTTCCGTCTAAATCTGAAGAACTGCCACATTGGAAGACAACTTAATGGTGGAAAAGAAAAAATAAACCTCATTTATTTCCTTATTCATTAAAAAGAGTATATATCTGTAACACCAGGAAGAAATGATAATATTGTATTTGAATGTTAATAAATGCATTTGCAAATCAAGGATAATTTTTGGAAGCTTGAGATTCTAATCTTTGAGAATGTTCTGATATCATTGAACACACATATCTGACCTCCCCCAAGTCTGTGTGTGCAATGATTTAAAACTATGGCAATAATTAAGTGCTCTCTAAATTTAGGTGCTAAATATGTATTCATTATTCAGTTACAGTCACTAGGTCCCCTTCTTTGAAGTTACATAAAATAAAAGCTGATCCTTCCAAGAATAAAGTCAGGGATCACATGTTATACTATGTTGAGAGTTAGAAACATTTCTTCACTGTGGGTAAGATGTACTTTTCTCGGTTTTTAAATATGTAGCGCTCAGGTTGAGAAGACTTGGATTTCATTCTCAGAAATCCAGAATCTCTTGCAAAGGAAAGATTTTCTGTCTCTTATAAACAAGCAGCAGTCTTACATTCAAAAGATTTTCCCTAGTGAAGCATGTGTAACACTGATGTGTGTTAAATAAAAACAGAATTTTTAACTTTTGAATAATGCTGATTATCTTTCATGAATGATTTTGAATTTCTTCTTAAATCTCCCCTATTTTTCTATTTTATAGTTAAGTGCCTCATTTGCTGCCCGTAGTTAGACAAGGGAAAACCAACTTGCACTACACTAGTACCAAAGTGCTGCTTCATGATGCATTAATTACTTGTTAATTTCTCATAAAAGCTCCTGAAATGCTGTGGTTCAGTATTACCTAGTAGGTTTCTGCCACCGTCTCCTCCCTCTTCTTTTTTGTTGAGAAATGGCAAAACACAACTGAATTCATTTGAGCATTAGCATTTACAAGCAAGATTTCCTTTTTTTACCTTTGCCTTGTTTTTCTAGCCCATAAATGGTATTCAGCATACTTTTAATTTGAAATTGGCAGAATATGATAATGACTAATATCCTTCTCTTCATTCTGTTTAACTTTACTAGTGTTTTGAAGTGCAAGAATATTAAGTAGCCCCCAACCTTAACTGTACAGATTATCTTGAATGTAAATAGCATGAAAATAATGTATATTAGAATGCAGGAAAACTGTGGCATAGATAATATATTTTAATAGGTTTACAGTGTAATTTAAAATAATTTATTTAACCAAATTTATTTGGTTTTAACTCTGTGGGCTTTTCATTGGTCTGGCTGAAGAGGGAATGGGCCTCGTATGGTTTGGGAAGTTGAGCTTTACCACACAGTATTTGTGTTTTCCTAAAAGTGTTTAGTTCAGCTGTGCTATTTTAATTCAACTCTCTTGATTTATGGCCAATTCAGTATATCAATTAAATATTTCTTCAGAAGCACAGAATCATACCATGTGAGAATTTTAAGGACCTTAGAGATTGTCTATTCTAATCTCTTTGTTTTAAAGATAAAACTAAAGCACAGAGAACTTAGATGACTTTTCTGAGGTTACAGCTAGTTTATAGGAAAAGAAACTGTGGAAACTTAAAAGTTACTGTATTCCAGAATTTTATTATACATGTTCTATTATTCTTTATTTTTAGTAAGTCAGTCGAAAGTCTGTACATATTTTTCATTTTCTTTGAAAGCGAAAAACTACTTCTAAGAGAGCTCGAGCTCCACCACTCAAGGCAGAGTTGCTTGTAGAAAACAACTGATTTGTTCAGAACCCTGAGTGAATTTTCTCCAAGAAATGTGATTTGATTAAAGTGGTTTTTAAAGAGTAATGCAGTAGAAACGAACATTTGGAAAGAATAATTACATCTTGGAGTCTATTTCATTGATGACAAGAAGTATAACAGATTGCTGAGATATATAAAATTTTCTAGTGAAAAGCTAGTTTGATTATATTTCATCTTCAGTTTCTCAGAACAACAGATGTTAAAGTTTAACTCTCCTGATATGCAGAAAGCTTCAATCATGACAGTTGATACATAAATAATATAGTTTGGTTTTATAAATTCAATTATAAAAGGCTTTATAATATGCATGTTTTTAGGAAAATATTTAGCCACGCAGTTGTTAGTATATATGGAGAACACTTTATTCTTGAATATGTGGGTGCCATTCTTGAGCGTGTATTTATCTTTTGTTTTGGATTATTTTAAATGTATAAACACCATAATAGTGTATTTTCCTGTTAATCTACTTAAGATAGTCTAGCTCCACTTGTAATAAGCATTTTCAGAAACCACATGGACTTAAGATATAACTGTCTCCCTTTAGTTAGTTAGTTTTTTTGGCACCAATTCTTCGACTTGGATTTATAACAATAATATAAAATATTAAAAAAATTTTTTTCTGGAGAATTAAGACTAATAAAAAGGGAAAATATAAAATGAGTCTGGTCAGTTTCCCACTTGCAAGTGAAAAGTGAAAGACTTGATTATTTATTTTGCCACATATTTATTGTAATATAACTTTTAAATATATGACCTCCTGATTTATGAAATAAAACAAAAATGGTCTGTAAGGGACATTCTAAGCACTTTTTGTGATACTGTTTTCATTGATCACACCTGTTGTGCCATATTAAATTTAAAAGTCAAGTAAACAGAGTAGTCCTCACAGCCCTGGAAAGAAACAGATAATTAGTTGTCTTTTAAAAATGAGGTCTTTTTATTTGTGAATGAGTAGAAATCATACTATAATTTAATTTCTTAATTGATTTTAGTGGATCGCAGTAGTCACTCTGGAGAGGCTTTGTTCATTTTCTTAAGTTTGAGTGTTTTGTAATCATTTTACTGTTAACAATATGAGTTTAAAAATAATTTGACTTTTCACTATTTTTAGGTTTCTCTTTAATTTTATTGTAGAAATAGTAGATGATTTAAAGTGGTTGTGGATTGTTTAATGAAGGTTTAATTTATATTGTACTTAATTTGTATTTGAGTTTCTAATTCTAAATAAAAATTTGCATATGTGTTTGAGTGATTCATTTGTTATAATGATTAATTGTGTGGTTGTAAGAAGAGAAAGAGACTCGAGATTTTTTTCTCTTGGGCATGTCCAGCAGAAAGGCCATTTGAAGACACAGTAAAAAGGTGACCATCTGTGAGCCAGGAGGAGAGGTCTCATCAAACACCAGTCCTGCTGGCACCCTGATCTTGGACTTCTAGCCTCCAGAAATATGAGGAAACAAATTTAAGTCACTCAACCAGTGGAATTTGTTTAAGTCACTCAGTCAGTGGAATTTTGTTATGGCATCTATATGATATAGTTGGTAATTAAGAATTGATTTGAGTAAGAAATAGTAAAAAATGATATACCTTAACATTAAAAAGTTCTTTATTGAAATATAATTGATATAAAATGAACTGCATAAACAGACAAAGGATTAATCTCAAAAATATACAAGCAACTCCTGCAGCTCAATTCCAGAAAAATAAATGACCCAGTCAAAAAATGGGCCAAAGAACTGAACAGACATTTCTCCAAAGAAGACATACAGATGGCTAACAAACACATGAAAAGATGCTCAACATCACTCATTATCAGAGAAATGCAAATCAAAACCACAACGAGGTACCATTACACGCCAGTCAGGATGGCTGCTCTCCAAAAGTCTACAAGCAATAAATGCTGGAGAGGGTGTGGAGAAAAGGGAACCCTCTTACACTGTTGGTGGGAATGCAAACTAGTACAGCCACTATGGAGAACAGTGTGGAGATTCCTTAAAAAAACTGGAAATAGAACTGCCATATGACCCAGCAATCT